CCCTCTTTATATAATGCGCTAATCTGTGTGCTTGTGTAAATGTGTTTCAGGGTGTGTGTCCGGCCGGAAATTCATAACTCCTGTCCCCGTGGACTTAGAGTACTTGGTCAAATTTGGTAAGAGTAGAGGCCCGGATTGGAGCACTTATGGTAAGTGGCAGGATCGGACTCCGTTCACAGGGGGCGAGGCATGCGCGATAGGAATTTTGGGCCGCAAATTCATAACTCCTGTTCACGTGGACCTAGAGCGTTCAAACTTGGTAGGAGTACAGAAGCTAGAATGGGAACACTCATGGTAGGTAGCACGACTAAACTCCGCCCACAAGGGGCGGGGTTTTGCGCCGAAATTTTCAATTGGCCCTGGGGCATTCAAACTTGACAGGAGTACAGGCGGCAGGATGGAAACGCTTATGGTGAGTAGTAGGGCCGGACTCCGCCCCCAAGGGACAGGGTTTCCGCGAAATAAATGTTTTAGTGGAAATCCATAACTCCTGATCCCGTGGACTTGGAGAGCAAAATCAATAGGAGGAAGCAGGGTGGGAACACAGACAATAGAAGAGGCCTCAGAGAAGAAGATCTACTCACCAGTCAAATCCTAGCGCCTTTGTTATGCACGATCTAGCTTTCACTTTTTGATACGTTTCTTCGACAGAAAGGGTAAGTGGTGTGTTTATAAGAAGATGAATTTGGTTTACTTCTTGCTATTAGATTACGACTGCTACCCAGCAAAGTCTGCGATTAAGTGAAAGATCACGGTTTCTCTCTTCTTTGATATCATTCTTGGCAGAACTTATCCGACCGCTAATGATGGTGGATTCACATTTAGTGATGCATCCGTAGAAAAAAGGAGCTGCATCTTCGAAGATATTGATAGACTATATTTTCGCTCAGCGAAACAGCGAAATAACATAAAAAAGAGGAAAGTTTCATTAATCGATGTTTTTCGGGTGGGTAAGTACTTTTGCGCGAAGAAGGAGGAGAGCCCGGCGTCAGCTGGGCGATCCGACTGGTAGAAACATAAACAGACACTACTCACTTCTATGCGCACATCTTATCAGGGGATTTCATGGTATCGCAATCGGTTACCGGATCGGGGTTCATCTTCAAACTTTCCATTTCAGGCTGTGAAGCTTTGGATTGGGGTGCGTACAGAACCGCTTAGAAGGGTTCTCACACCAACTGCCTCACATGAGTTTCAATGGATTTTAGCAGCGTAGTGGTCGGGATCCGACTTGTAAAAAAGTACACGTTAAGTATCGGGTAGGCTGTTCCATCATTATGCGGTCAAATAATCAAGGAAGAGAACGAGAGAGGGACGGATGTCACGCATACACGCGTGGGCAGTGTCCTTACATAGAAATCCCATGGAAAATTCCAGAAACCCCGAGTAAATTTTTGACTATCGCGAGATATTCGGGAGATACCTAGACATACAGTAGCGCTCAAAAGTTTCAAAGTCTCAAAAGGTTCTTCAGCCGTACTATTCAGTCGCAACTCCTTTCCAACTGTCATGCGAAATTTCTGTATGTGGAGCGTGGGTGTACTGTGAATATTTACCGCTATCAACCTGCAATATGCTCATGTTCCAGATATTCCAAAGAGCATGAACTCAAAAGTCTAATGTGTACGAGCGATAATGCCGAACACAATAGGTGAGAAAAACGCACATAAGGTGTAAATATGTGCAGACGTTAACAACTTTACTTTCAGCAAAATCTACTACCGCAACAAACACCTTGCTCTACCTGTGGATATTACAGCTTTGCAGTCAAATAGTGCTGGGTAGGGTGAAATATGCTCCAGCCAAACATATCCAAATTGCGCGCGATTTGGTCTACTAAGAGAAAAGTTATGAACGAAAAAGCGTCGAAGCATCTCACCGAAGACTTTTGACTGTACATCAAATAATACGACAAAGTCAAGGTAGAGACACTCACGGAGAATTTTCCTGAGGAATCCTCTGAGTTTTCGCAATTAAAAAGAGCTAATCATTCCTCCGTTTAATAGGCAGAGTGGAGTAGCAACCGTTACATTAGGGTACATTTACGGCCACCACCTTCTATGATTAAACGATAAGGCTATGGTACGCCCACAAAGATTGGGTCAGTGCCAAACCCGTTGTTTAATGTTTGAAAAGATACATTGAATGAGTATAAAGCGATAATCGGATGATTGACGAGCGTTACATACGAAGAGGCTACCCGACAACGAAGACCGAAGCAGATGGAGAGGAATTCCCCGCGGATTGCTTTTTTTCCTTTTCAAATCACTTGGTAGGTCTAGGCAGTAGCTTTTTTTCAAGAAGGCTTATCGCTTGAGCTTTGCAAAAAGTAGTATCAAAGTTAGAAGTGGGAAGCTAAAGTGGACTAGTTTTCTGATAGCTACGCTGAACCAGTTTCACATACTGATACCGAATTTTAATTCCTACAAAATATAATTCCGTGATCACGGGGCCGAATCTCGGATCGATCTCCGCCTAACCAACCTTGCCATCCATCTCTACAGGGTCGTTCAGCTGGTAGCGGACTCGGTTGGGAGGATAAAAGCACTAACATAAGTTGTATACCTGTGGTCACTGTAGGTCATTCTATAGGCCACATATGCATTTAAATTACTTCTTGACGGTGAAAATGTAGTAGTTGGAGGGAAGGGGGGGGGGGGGGG